GTTTGTTTTTTTAGCAGTCCCTGGTCATTGAGTTGCCTACACATTCTTCAAAACATATCTTTTTGTGTTCCACAGAAGAATGTAAGTAATATGGGTTTAGGGTATGTAAATGATTAAATTCAGACAGAAATTTATAAACTACTATAATGTAGTATGTCTGTCATTTTAGTCACCATTTAGTGTGCTTTTGTGTACTGAAGATGGCCATGGAGATTGTACACTGCTATTCTTTAAAAGCCTGTCTTTCATATGGCTATGGAGTCACTGCTTGTCATGGCTTTGTTAGATAACAGCTGACAGTGTTGGAGAGGATGTGGACCCATCATTGAAAGCCCTTTCTGTGTGTATTAACAATCCAGCCGCAGTGTACAGTATGTGTGTGCGTTTGCTGTCTCCCACCATGCAATTAAATGTGTGCTCTACTAACGTGTGTCAAGCGCTTATGAAAGTCTATATACATAGAGAATATCTCTGTAACAATCCTGTGTTTCAGCGTATAAGCAGCTGAGATGTGTTAATAGTCTTAAAACCAATGACTCAAAACCATAAACATACAATTACACTGTCTACGACTTTATAGAGGGAGTGACATTTTCCTTGTTTCCAGACAATTTAGGGTCACGCTACACGCTGATATGAGTAAGCCTGCTTTCTATTTCTACTGCAGAAACTGAAAATACATCTGGCTTTGTTCCAAGCTGAAATGTAAGCTACATCGGTGGGCCAATATTGTTTAAAGTGATGGAAAAATACCAGCTTGTGTTCTCTCTGTCTCGCATCCACTCTCTGCATCTGTCTTTTGAAGAGAGCAAGGGTGATTTCCTGTCACTGGATGCTGTGTTTGCTTTTTTGAAGCTGGGCCGCAGTGTACTGATGGAGACTACTGTTTTTATAACATTTATACCCCTCCACTCATGCTTTCTTTCTGCTCCGATGACATTATCCACCCAGCCCCCCCCCCATCCCTGCGCACTCAGACCGTCCAGGATGTGACTCCGTGCTTCTCTGCCTCACTCCCAGCATTCCTGCACCACACACACCCGCAGTCACCTCCTGAAGCCTGTGTAGAATTGTGTAAACTAGTGAGTGTTCATTTGGCCATGTATTAGTGTATAATCACCCTCTCTGGGCCACCTGTGCTATAAGAGACAGGACAGGCATGTGAGGAATGTCAGTCTACATGATTGTGTAGGTCTTTTGTCAGAGGAAGATCTTAGAAAATCAATGGAAGAGCAGAATGCTAAAAGGACTTTAGCTCTGTACGTTTAGGTTGATTGCTGTAGTTTGATGCTACATTGTCACTGAAAACAAAACAAAACAAAACAAAACAAAACAAAACAAAAAACAAACAAATAATTAACTTCTAAAATAATTTTAAAATATGCAATTCTCCAAATATGTAAAATATGCTTTTATGCTAGCATATAAAAAGAGTACTTACTACGTAAATAATATAAGTATGAACTGAATTAAATGTTTTTGGACACTAAATAAAAATGTATTACAGTTTACATTTATATTAATTTCAATAAGCTGAATTTGAAAGATCTTACAATTTTAAAGTTGGACTTAAGTGCATCTTTATATTTTTAATTTCATGATTACTTTATTGTCTTTGAAATATGGTTAAAGTGTCCTGCGAATGTACTGACAAGCATATTCTCTAAACCCATTTCTATTAAAAACCTGTATGTTAGAGTTTAGTACATTTTAAATATATGAACTTATTATTGATACTTAATATTGATCAGTACTATATTAAAAACACATAAAATTACAATCAAGTACTTTGTGTGTGGTTTAGTATGTTAGTCAGCACATTTATTTAAAGAATGACAAAATATTAAAACAATGATTTGTACTTAAATGTAAAACTTTTAATTTGGCATTATTACTAAGTTCACTTTTTAAAAGTGTATTTAAGTGAGTTAAGAAACGGTCATGAATGTGTACTCTCTTTAATGGCCTTTTATTTCATTAATATAATATCTGCAAGTAAAATATACTTTCAAAAATGTAATACAATTAAGAGCACTTTTTTACAAGGGATAATTCATCTTAAAATGTAAATGCTGTCATCATCTATTTACCATCATGTCATTCCATACTTTATTCTGTTGAACACAAAAGGAGATTTTTTTTCTTTATAATACAGTACAACAAAGGTAGGTGGCTGTCAGGATTCAAAAAGGATATAAAAGCACCATAAAAGTAATCCATATGTTGCTACACAGCATCTCTGATGATACGATAACTTTGTGAGAATCAGACCATCATTATTTGCTTATAATTTATCCCTCCACTGCTCTCAAATATAATTTGTGCTTGTACACTTTGAAACATGACACAGCACAAGGTTCAACAGGTCAGTGATGCCAAACATCATTGGCTCCTGCATGTCTCATGGCTAATGCACTTTTCAGTGTTTTGAATTGAGTCACAAGTGCTATCACAGAATGGAAGCTCTGCAGTGAATAACTTCTCACAAAAATCTATTTTATGGCTCCAAAAGAATTTTAAAATAGCACACAGGTCATTTTCATTGTGCTTTCTGTCCTTTTTTAGCTTAACAGCCACTAGTCAGTTGATTTAGTAGGTTTAATGTCACACCATGTTATTATTTTTCTCAATATATTTCACATAACACAAAAGACATTTTAGGCAGGACACATCCAACACACCTGATTATACATGTCAAGACATGTCCACTCAGTTAGCGTGTAGCACAGATGGTGGGATTCTTCACATGGTTCCTTTCTCACTGTCCCTCTGTGGGTGACGTCCTTACTGAAGAACTTCTGACCTGCTAGAGAAACGGCTAATGAACTTCTCTTCATCTCTTCAACTCAGCCCCTGTGGCCCAGCTGAGGACGGAGCTTCTATCGGGGTCTCCTTTCAAATCTAACATCTGATTCTAAATCAAAAGATGTAGTTGAAGTGTTGGGACTCTGAGGGCCCAGTAGGGGCTGATGAGGGCTGAGCCCAAGAGGGTCGCCACTGGCCCTTTGCCCTGTTCCCAAACTCAGACCTTTTACAGACATACATGCACTCATACAAAGAAGAATGACTGCACTGGGACACACAGGAAGTCCGGTAAAACACAATGAGATAACAGTCTACAGTGTGTGAGGTCCATCTCAATGTTTTCATTGCTGTAATGACAGTTCTCTTCCTTCTATGTCTTTTGATTTTTGTCACACGCTATTTTACTTCAAATATATGTGGTGCCGTCTGTCTTACAGACAGAAGTGAGTAGGGCTGCAACAATCAGGATGTTTGATAGACCCAGATGGAATCTGCAGACTTTTCTCACATTTTCTGCACTTTGTTGTTGGAAATTTGGTGGATTGAATTTAGACATGGTAAAAAGTTTTAAATGAAGCTACACTAAATTAAGGACTAGTTCACCCAAAAAATTTATTACCCATGTCATTCTAAACCCATAATATGGCCATTCATCTTCAGAACACAAATGAAGATATTGTTAATATTCTCTCATAGTTTTTGTCCATCCATTGAAAGTCCACACAATCAAATATTTGTTTCGGAAGCTCAGACATGTTTGCATGACACGTGAGAACAAAACCTCATTTGTTCTCACACTTAAAGCAAGCATGTTTGAGCTTTCACTTACCATATTTGATGATCCATTTCTATGTATATGCATTTATCAATGTTTATATTTGATAAACCCTAAATTAAATCTGTTCACCGTACAAAGCCAAATTTTGGTTGCACTGGACTTTCAAATGGATGCAAAAAATGATGAGAAAATATATCAAACAAATCTTAATTTGTGTTTCGAAGATGAAAAAAAATCATAAAGGTTTAGAATGTTATGAGGGTGAACGTTTGGGGTGAATTGACCCTTTAACTTAAATATTTAATAACAAATACATACTAAGCAGGGGATGTGTCGAGCTTTATGAATGACAGGTGTTCCATTTCTGTTCCAGAGTCTGAAATATCAACATTTCAGAGAAAACAGACATGAATAATTCCTGTTAAAGATCATTACGACACACTTAAAACTAGTAAGCTGCATGAGAGTTCAGCATCACACTGCCCAGAAACACATTCAAAACCAAGGGAAATACAGTATATCCAGTGATTTATTCAGCACTAGCTTCAAAACTGCTCCAGTGAACGATCACCTGAATCATTGATTCCATTTATGTTAATTCAAATCAATGATAACTAAGGATTTGAGAGAAGACTTCACTGTGCTGGTATTGCATCACTGATATGTATTGACATACAGTATCTTTGATGAGCTCTGAAAACTGATTTGTCAGAGACTAGTGCCGTCATGAGTGCTCACAAATGTATGTGCAGTGTGACACTACTCATCAGGTACTTTTGTAATTGCATCTTCTATGTTTATATAAATTAATGCAAAATACAGCAACAGAGATTAACTCTTGAAAACTGTTATACACTACCGTTCAAAAGTTTCCACTAAAATATTATATGGCACAACTGTTTTCAACATTACTAATAAGAAATGTTTCTTGAGCATCAAATCAGCATATTAGATTGATTTCTGAATTATCATGTTGCTGAAGACTAGAGTAATAATGCTGAAAATTCAGCTTTGCCATCACAGAAATAACTTACATTTTAACATATTTAAACAGAAAACATTTATTTTAAACTGTAATAATATTTCACAATATTACTGTTTTTACTGTATTTTTGATCTATTAAATAAAACAAAAAATCTTACTGCACGCAAACTTAAAACAATAGTGTCCCAGACATTACTTTTTTTTTTTTTTTAAACCAACAAATTCCAGATTAATTCCAGTGGCCACTATGTGCATACAGAGTATTCTGTCAGTTATTACCAGTGCCCCTTACAAGAGAATTCTTGCGTGTAGCATTAATTAAAGCATGATTGGCCAGTATCCTGTTACAGGTTTGTGATGAATATCCTCTGAAAACAATTGGCAGCTGGTTGATTGTGCATCTCTACCATGCCTCTTTTACACACACACACACAAATAAGATAGAATAAGGCATACAGATGGCCTCAAAGCAAACTGACATACACTAAAGGCACCTATTTCACCTATTTTGATTTCATGGTGTTTTAAACTTTTCTTTTTTTCCTTGTAGAATATAGATGTGACAAACTTCAGCAGCAGCTGGAGTGATGGCCTGGTGTTCTGTGCTCTGTTACACACCTATCTGCCTGCACACATCCCTTACCAAGAGCTCATCAGCCAAGACAAGGTACTCACAAACGCATACATGTATTTTTTACATTGGTTAGTGAAGTGTCTTAGTAGATCATCGGACTATCTTAGTGCCTGACACATTTAGCAATCAAGCATAGCGTGTTAACAGGCAATGCTTCCCCTCTGCTGACCTGCCAGATGTAATGAATTACGTGCTTTCATGGATTAGTGTTGATAGAATACATAAACAGACGGCACACGGAGAAACAGGCGTAGAAACAGCATATATAACAAATAAACGGCTGCTCTGCCCTCCCTATGCGTTTATTAGATCATACACATACCCACGAGCATGCAAAGGGCCACGGTCTTCGGAGCTGTGTGACATATTGCAGCTATAAGTATAATAGTGATTACAGGAAGAGATGGTACATTAGGCTTTTGAATTAGTCACAAAGCCTCTTTGAGTGTGTTGTGAATGACAAGGCCTTGTGTGGAAGCTTCATCACTCTCTAGAGCAGGGTTCCTCAAATCTTACCCTGGAGGTCCAATGCGCTGCAGAGTTTAGCTCCAACCCTGATCAAACTCATCTACCTGTGATTTTCTAATGATCCTGAAGACATTGATAAGCTTGCTCAGGTGTGTTTGATTAGGGTTAGAGCTAAACTCTGCAGAAAAGTGGATCTCGTGGGCCAGATTTGAGGATCCCTGCTCTAGAGCATCGCTAGAGAATTCAGCTGGGTTTAGACACCTGTTTTTCACTACTGTAAATAATAATTCACAGAGAGCTGTTTTCTCCCTATAGGGGCGAAATCTCACCCTGGCTTTCCAAGCAGCCGAAAGCATTGGTATCAAGCCCTCTCTGGTGAGTCTATGTTCACAGACACACACACACAATTCATTTATTTATTAAATAAATAATAGTTTATCATTTTTTATTATTATAAAATGAGTAATATTCATCCATATGATCCAGGGTTATTACAGTTAACTAAAAATAATAGCAATAAAAAACATTTTGTTACTTGAAATAAAATAAACATTATTTGAAGTAAAATTAAATAAAACGTAATTTATTTCAGCTAGCTGCCAAGGCAACATTTCTCATTTCATTTAGTTTAACTTAAGCTTAACTTGAAATAAATACAACTGAAGCTAAAATAATATAGATATATTTAAAAAATAATAAACAATAAAATGACAAACTGAAATGAAAATGAAAATAGAAGATATAAAAACAAAAACCATTCCAATAAATAATAAATTGTTTTCTTTTCTTTATTTGTGGTTCAAACTTCATTTGTTTACTCTTTGAATAATTGAACAATATGGGGTGACAGCTTTTTTGTAGCAATTGATAAATTAATACAGAGATTGTGGCTGAATATTAATAAATCCTGTGTGGATTATTTTATTGGATTGTATTATTTTTCATAAATAAGTCTAAAGATAAATGAATACTGTAATAATCAAACAAGCATGATTACATCAAATGATTACAGCAAACAGCCAAATAAAACCCTAAGTAGGCTTTGACTTTCACTGTGAGTAATTTGCACATCTTTAATTACTGCTTTGTGTGACTGACACAGCCGAGCACATTTAAATACAGGTCATTTGCATCTGCACTGTAACTGTGAGCCAAAGATGGACTGTTGAACAGGCTGTAAATTCAGCAGTCGCGGCGTGTGGGATGTGTAGAGCTATATTCACACATAATCCAAATCAACTGCCTCTTGCTCTTGCCTTTGTGAGTTTAGGCTGTGTGAATTTTCCATTGTTGAGAAAAACAAACAATCTAGAACACCCAGTTAAATCAAAGGAACTTCAGAATGCTGTTTATTTTAGTTAGCAAGTCTCCACAAGTAAAATAAAAGGACATTCATGATCGGCTTTCCTGAATAATACGTAAATACTATGGGTGTCCCCAACTAAGGATTTTCATAGTCGAATCGGAATTTTCGAATCTTGACGATATTTGACTGATAGTCGAATCATATGTTTTGGGGGCGAGGCAAAATACATTACCAAGAGTCAAGTCAGATATTCGACAGTCATAATTACGTTAACACAGGGAAAATGTGTAATGGACACCTCGCAGATACAAACGGGGTAAATAATGTTTTATGTTTTGATTAAAAGATTAACATTAAACGTCAGCAAAACCCTAAGAATTCACAATTTTTTTTACAATAGTGCTCTCATTATAACGTTATGTATATGACAGTAGTTATTAATGTTCTGCATTTCTGTTCTGAGCTGCGCGCGCTGAAGATGACGCAAGAATGAAGCATCTGATAACAGGTTTTTAATCAATGGGATTTAACTCGTCATTTATCTCATATAGAATACGCTTCGTTATTTATACAACATAAAGTTAATATTACGACTTATAGGCTATCTGCACAAAATGCCCCGAACGCACATGAACGTGTCTGCGCAGCTCTGAATGAACTTCTTTTGTGGACGCGTTCTTCACGCAACAACGTGCAGAAACACAGCAACTAAACTCAAAAAATTCACAGCATTTATTAGAATAGTGTTTTCATTATAATTGTTATGTATATGATAGTCCCCAGTCATAGTTATTAATATTCTGCATTGTTGTTTGTACTGCTCGCGCTGCGCGCTGAAGAGATAATCACCGTAGTACTACAATGAAGCGCTTTACTGCAGCGCAACTCAACCAAATGGATCTTATACGAGATAAATAATATATACACGATATATATAAACCGGCTGAAATGTTTTGAAATCACTTGTACCCTACCTGATCGAAAAAAATCCAATCTTTCACTCTGTCTGTGTCAGTTTGAGTCTTGTTAAAGTTGTTAAAGTTTTAAATCTCTGCCGCCAAGATGCTCCTCTGTCAGTCACAGATTATGGAAAGTGAAACTGGGGTGGTTGGATTTATTCACGCACGTTAAAATATTTGAAGCTTCTTTCTTTTCAGATTCTTATTTACAGCATTATTTTAATAGGCAGTATATTAACTTATTGGGAAAAAAACAGTAGTTCTATGTGAAATCAGACAAAATGGCATGATCATAACACCCCACGAATATTCGACTGCGAGATTGGTAGTCGAATCAGGCTCCCCCTATCGAAGTATCGAATCTTCGACTATTCGGGGTCACCCCTAGTAAATACCATACAAAATCTAAAAGAAAATAATTTGAAAATCTGGCTCATGGAATTTTATTTTATTATTATTATTATTATTATATTTTTTTCCAAGTACATGAGGTCACAAATTCAAGTCTTACTGAACTGATCATTCACACTGCAGTAGCTGAGCGATGCATCATGCGAGACCTACCGTCTTCTCTCGTATTGGTTATCACTCCCCAAAAACGCTCACAAGTCACTAGATAGCACACATATAGTCACCAGCTGATGTAACAGTGTCTTACAATGTGCTTGTGTTTATATCAGTTGCATTTATTGAAAACAATACTCAATACAATATTCAGACATACAGTCATGTGAAAAAAGGATTTTTGAATTCTATGGTTTTACATATTACACTATCATTTTATGTTTAATTTTATGTTATTATTAGTGTTTTTGGCCCAGTAAAAACTAGGCCAGAAAGGAGAGGCCATGTGTGAAAAAATAAATACACCCTTACTGCTTCCATATCCACCTTATTCTTCCCGTAAGAGTGGGTGTGGCCATAAACAAATATGGGTCTGGCTTCTGGTGTCATCCGCTTCCATCTATTTTTAGCTGTACAAAACAGCTTGTTTTGCTGCGTGATACTGCAAACTGGTGTCTTATTTTAATGTATTAATTTAATTATGAACACACTGGTTTGAAGTGCAAACAGTTTTACCGTTTACTGCACGTTGTCATTCTTCTCGTTATTTCCCTACAGCAGCTATTGAACTGGAAGTCCCGCACATTCACAGAAAACGGCTTACTTCCGCGTTGAAAAATAAGGTGGATAGGAATTAAGAGGGTAAGTAGCAGCCAGGTGCTGCTAATCAAATGCACTTGATTAAGTGATCATCAGCAAGCATGATCACCTATGTAAAAGCAGAAGTTTTGGCAGTTTGCTGGTCAGGAGAATTCAGGTGTGTGTTAACACAATGCCAAGGAGGAAAGATGTCAGCAATAATTTTAGAGGAGGAGTTGTTGCTCGCCATCAATCTGAGAAGGGTTATAAGGCCATTTCCAAACAATTTGAAGTCCATCGTTCTACAGCAAAGTTCATTCACAAGTGGAAAATATTCAAGGCATTTGCCAATCTTCCCAGGAGTGGGCGTCCCAGCAAATTCACCCCAAGGTCAGACCTGGCGATGCTCGGAAAAATGGCAAAAAAACCCAAGAGCTACATCTCGGACGCTACAGGCCTTGGTTAGCATGTTAAATGTTAAAGTTCATGACAGCACAATTAGAAAAAGACTGAACAAATATGGCTTGTTTGAAAGGGTGGAAAGCCTCTTCTTTCTAAAAAGTTGCATGTGAACAAAACACAAGACCTCTGGAACACTGTTCTTTAGACAGACCAAAATGGAGATGTTTGGCCATAATGCACATTTGGTGAAAACCAAACACGGCATATCAGCATGAACACCTCATACCAACTGTCAAGCTTGGTGGTGAGGGATCATGACCTGGGCACCTTGCAGTCATTGAGTCGACCATGAACTCCTCTGTATACTAAAGTATTCTGGAGTCAAATGTGAGGCCATCTGTCCTATAGCTAAAGCTAGGCCAAAACTGGGTCATGCAACAGGACAATATTTCCAAGCACACCAGCAAATCTACAACAGAATGGCTGGAAAAAGAAAATCACATGCCTTCTCCATTTTGGC